ACATTCAAACAGCTAAAGAACTGCAGAAATGTTGCAGGGTCAGTTGCACAAACACGCAGATCTTGTGGGCCAGAGGATGTGGTCAGGGGAAGGCTCCTCTTCCACATCTTTTCTTTGCTTCCAGCTCCCTGTCCCTGTTTCTCCAAACCAGTCCTTTTTCTAATATCAGCAGGTTAACAGCCTCCTCACATTTCCATGAATTCTTATTTTGGGACAACTTTATTCATGGTAGTGACTACACTTAATTCTCAGTCTTCCAAAGAAGAACATAATGAACTCTGAAATGAGGATATATCTGAAGGTATTCCCATGCCACGCTTTTGTTCCTGCTGCTAGTTGATAGCTGTCAAGTACTCTTTTAAGCTTTTTCTGTCAATCTCCATTTTCTTAAAAGCTATGTCTCCTTTCTACCCAGAAGATGTTTGGAACACAAACTCCAAACTTTGTCTCATACAAAGCTGTAGGAGGTTTTGCTAGAGTATGTGATCTAGCTGCACCTTTCTGCTGTTGCAGGAATATACTGCAGCCCTGTTCAGACTATTTGTTGCACTACTGCATCTTCTGTGGCATGTGTAGAATTTGTCGCTCTGCACTAGCTGCTACCTTGTTATTGCAGTTGTCATAAATGCTGCAAACCCTGACTTAGATCAAAATCAGGATGGTCAGGTAAAAGTAGATTCGGTTTCTTCTGGACCAATTATTAAAGCCTTGAAATGGGGCAGAGCACTGGAAGTACTTGGCACTCTTCCTCTCCTGATGTACACTGAAGTAAACACACATTTAAATTACCTGACATCCTTGGATTTTTCATGCCCCTCTCCAAAGACGTTAATCTCCCATGATCAATGAGGGATTTCTGCTGACTGTCTAACCTCTCATAGCACGGTGGTAGACTTTAGGACTGTGGATAAGGCACAAACTGTGGAGTCATCTTGCTGTCAGGTGCCCTTACCCTGCAGAGAGCTGCAAAAAGATATTTGCTGAATCACCCTGGCTCGATTTAAACACGCAGCCTAGCATACAAGAGCTTGGAGGACCAAAACCGAGAGAAGGGATCACGGCAGAGCTGCCAAACAGATGCAGTATACACAGGAGAAAAAGCTTAGGCTGAGGTCTGTAACTGGCATTAAAACGTCTGTGTCTTCTGCCCTTGGGTGGGTATTAATGGAAACTGCTCTCACTGAGTGAGATGACAGACACTGACAGCCTAATTTGAGAGATAAGACTTAGTTCATCAATGACTTTTTCTGGAGGGGAAGAACTTTGATCATTGCTAAGTAGAGTCTTGGTACTAAATAGCTAATGTGCTTCTTAATTAATTTGTTCTGTCTCAGGAGACATGTTAAGTACTATGCATGTGGTACCGTGTCCTGTATAGAAATTGCCCTGTGAAATCAGGAGTAAAAATTCCTTTCCATATTTGTGTGGTAGAATTTGTGTAATTAAAGAGGAAGCTAAAGTTGGTCCAACAACTACCACCACCTGAAAATGTTTAAACTTAGCTTAAAATGTAGAAAAAGAAGCTGAAGGTATGTACTGTACGTGGCAGAGATTTGCTTATTTGCACACTTAAAATGCATCAGTGGTTTCCTGGAACAGCAGACAGCAAATACAAACATTGGGATAAAGAGGTCAAAGAGAGTATGATAAATGTAATCAGGCACTCATTAGTTTAAAGACTTTGAAAAGATTGGTAGCAACAAGACCAGATTGAACAATTCACAGATTTTTCTACCAGTATCTGAACAAACTGAGTGATGGAGGAACTTGTGCTCTTTAGTGGAGCAGTACTCACATTTGACGTTAATGTGAATATTCACATTAGAAAGGCTGAAAGGCACACTGAGCAAAACACAGAAACAAAATTTGCTGCTGCCAAGTTTGGCCTTCAGCCAAGGGTGCAATTAAAAACAGAAACACCACCCTTTTACCCTGCCATCTCTGAATAAATTCTTTGATAGGTAGGAAATAAAAAGCTCCATGCTGTACAGACCAACAGGAGGTCTGTGTACCAGAAAATTAAAATATTTAAAAATTCCAAGATTTTGCTATGGGGATTTTCATTTTCATAATGCTTAGAAAATCACATTCCTGACTGGCTTCCCTGAGCATATGTATACATACATGCACATTTTAAAATAACAATTTAAAATATTGTGGAGTCTGTCCTCTCCCTTTTCCTTGCTGAGAGAGACAGGTGACTATGACACTGAATGCAGACCATTGCTGTTGCATTCCCTTTTCCTGGTTGCCAGGTCACTCTCACTAAGCAAGCGCAGTGGAATTCACTGAAGTGCCACTGTGACTGCCAGAGAAGAGGTACTGTGCCGTACCTTTCAGTGATGGCACAGATCAACTGGCACACATTCACCGTCCTAAACAGCGCGCATGCAAGCCTGGCTGCAGCATTCTGTTTGCTAGCAAGTTTTGCTTCACCAGGACTTTATGCATACTATTACTTTTTTGCTAAATTGTGGCTGCAGAGGGAATAGAAGTAACTGATCTGTAGAGGCTCTGGAGCTTGTTTTTTGTTACAAATTATAGGAGACCAAGTCTATTTTTCTGACTCTTTGCCAAGGTCATTGTTTTTATTATCCTGATGCTTCTGGAAAAAAAGGATCTCAGAACATGGGCAAAACTCTGATTTTATTTGGAGAGAATGAATTAGCTTCCTGTTTGTGTAACAAGGTAAAAATATTTTAGCAGCTTCTTTACAGGAGAGGTTGCCAATTTGTGTGCTTTTTTTTTTTTTTTCAAATAGAAAATACTTAGGCCTGTCAATGAATTCTCAGATGTTTCATGAAGCAGACATTTTCCTTGCTGACAATGCTTACTTCCAAGGACAGCTGAAACAGATAGGAAGAGAAAATTGCAACTGGAAGACCAGTTCAAGTATGGGAAGAAAAGTTCAAGTATGGGAAGGTTTTGAGGGCTTTGTTGCTGGAGGAGTCAAGCGACAAGGTTGCTTGAAGAAGGCAACTTTGAAAATACATGAACTAGATAGCAAAGCAATATAAAAAGCAGGGGAGAATAAGTAGCTCTGTGGAAGAACAATGATCACCCAAGACACAAGGTGAGCCTGAAGAGGAGAGGATTTCAAAGGCTCTGATCTTTATGATGTCTATGAAAAGAATCCCACTGATTTTAGGAGAATTTTCATTGTGTTCAAAGAGAATTGAAAGACAGGAATGCTGTTATGCTGTAGCAGAAGAGAAAGATTACTTTAGCAGCACTGATATTTTGGATAAGGATTCTTTCAAATCATCTTGGTTTGAAACAATCAAACTGACAATCAGACAAAACACAGGAATGGGAAGCATCAGCTAAACAATTTTGGAGGTAGAATAAGACCTTAGTGGGGCAGTAAATACAGCAGAGACCCTTATCTGACATGACTAAATATGAATTTAAAAAAAAATACTGAGGGAGGAAGCAGTGTGGGCATACAGAAGCATACAGAAAGACTGAAAGATAACCTTTGGAGAATGCAAGTCTGAAATGTTCCCAAGATCTATGCAAGGAGAGCTGTCCGAGGAACAAAATGAAGCACTTGGGAAAGGAAAAGGGCTGCTTTTTTTTTTCCCCTTTTTTTTTTTTAATTCTTCTACATTGATGTAGTAGATAAATCATGGAATTGGATACAGTTCTACTAAAAACATAGCTGGAGGAGAAGAACCAGCATGTGGGGGCAAAAGCCAGGATGTTATGGAGATGTCATAAACTACAATCCAGGACACCAATGGATTAACAGTGTGTTCTCCATAGTTATATACTAACTAGCTTTAGGCAATTGCTAACTCGGATCACCAAAAAAGAATTTCTGTAAGCAAATTACAGTCACTCTTTGACATTAAGTAGCAACTTCAGAAGCAGCCTAGGCACATCCCATCCCTTCATGGATGTCCTGAGGGCACATGTGTCTTGGGTGAGCGTACTGGGAAGAAAACGATGAGTTGATAATGCTGAAGGGGGTTAGAATCTAGAATGGTGTAAAAAATGCAACTGATCCTTTTCTGTTCACAGACCAAAGGATGAAAAAGTCGCCCTCGTGGCTGGCCATCTGAAGTACCACTGTGCAGTTTAAACATGCATTTATACAATTAATTAGAAATTAGCAGAATAATCTAATACTGAATTCAAAATTAATTAAATTAGTAATACCAAGCTAAAGGAAAAGCTCTGTAAACCACATTTCAAAAAGATGGTTGTGGAATCAAGATAAGCTCTATATTCTTCCCACTATACAAAGGTCACATGCAACTTGTACTTCACAACAGATTTTATTTTCTGCATACAAGATGCATGTGCTTTACTGACCTTAACATTACATATGTATTCAAAGGCAAATACAGACAAACTAGAAAAAAGCCTACTACACCTGTTACTCCAATACATTCATTCCTGAGAAGGACGAATACAAATATAAAAATATAAAGATGTTTTAACTCTTAATTGAGGAAAGTAACATAGCCTAATGGTTATAGCACAAACCTAAGAGTTGAGAACAGAGGTGTCACAGTATGACCTTCTCCAAGTCACCCTGAGGCTTAAGAATACTTGATGAATATATTTCTGCATGTTGGACACTTAGCTGTTACATGCAGTTGTGAAGTAGGCAAGATATTTTTTAGGATTTCATGAACTTCAGTTCATTTAGTAGCTACTGCCAGTGAAATGCATTATTGGGCAACAGAGAACTGTCCTTGCAGACATAATGTGACCGTATTACATCAGAAAGATTATTAACTCAGGGTTAAATTGTCATGATAAAAACATCAGTCTTGAATAATGAGCAATGTATAGCTGTCTTTCCTAATTGCAAACCAATCCACAAACTGTATCTTAGTTAGAAACCCTCTGTTAATTCCCCATAGCTCTGAATAGGTAATTAGGTACTGGGCACTTTGTCAGCACTCCTGTTTCCTTGGAGGTATAGCTCCAAGAACACACCACCCTCTGCCATTAGCCCTTCATGTCTTTCCCACCTGTTTGTTCAATGCAGGTGCACTTGCTTTGTACTTAACCCACTTGATTGCAATTGCAGGTTGCGCAAAGATGATGATCTGTTCCCTTTTGCAACAAAGGGACTGTTAGCTTCTACTATGCAAAGTGTTCTGGGTATAGTTATGAAAGTTTTTAATAACAGCAGCTAGAGTAAGTATCATAGTGGAACTACCCACTTTTCCTGCTTATGTAAAGATACTAAGGTCATCTGGAAAATACTGTTCTTACTGTGGGACAATATTACTCAGCTTGCATTTAGTAGTAAATTTTGCTGACTGTGACATTCCAGAATGCAAGCTACAGTAAGTCTTAGATAGAGATCAGTATGCAGGACAAATTAACCAAAGCCTGGACAGCTATAATAAACAAGAATCCGTGTGTGGATTTGCTGACTGAGCAGCACCTTCCCAGATAGAACTGGCAACAATTCAACCTGGTACTGTTGTTGTGAAGAAACTTCTTACAGGTTGGCTTTTTTTAAGAATGGATTTTTATTGACTTTCCAGATGACATTATTAATCCACGTAAACAGGATTTTTACTTTGCACATAATAGAAAGTGTAAACAGAAAATTGAGCATCAGTATATGCTCACTTCTTCAATGGTGACCCAGCACTCGCCTTCTAAAAAAAAAGTCCTGCTGTTTTCAATTTGCACTTCCATTCTGAACCATTTGTAGATACTCCTTGTATAGCTTTTCTTGGGTTTCATAAAGTTTCTTTAGCTTCTTAATTTGTCCTTTGCTGAGTTCTTTGCCTTCTGTATCATGGGTGGGAAATCCCTGAAATAGTAAAAAAAAAAAAATTTAAGATAAATTCTTGGACTGCTTTTGCTCCTTATGGAATCATGCTTTACTCAGGGGGATAATGTCATAATGACAAGCTACCAGGATGGGGTGCATCTTGGCCAATTTTAGTCACCTAGAAGTTTGACAACTAACTTTTGACTATTTGTGTATGTTTCCTCCCTAGCTAACGAAGGGGCAAAGGGTGTATTTATTTTCTGTCCTGTACTAAGTAAGGGAAGCTTAGACAACTAACTTCTAGATGGTTATAGTTAAGAGAATAATGACTAATCCCTGAACAGATGGTTAAGAGACCACTTTTAATCATACTAGCACATTGAATCCAAGGCTTAAAGCAAAAGCGGTAAGAGATTTGTGTTCTCAATGGAGAAAGTATGATCAGAGGTTTTATGGACATTCTCCTTGGCTTGCAGGGGTACTGTCCCCATATTTACACTCTCCATTCTTACTTGCCCCCAGGGCCTGAATTTGTGCAGGTAAAAGGGACAGGCAGAAGCAGGATCAGTGTCCCAGATCAAGTGCTGAAGAAACACTGCTTTATGTTTTCCAAGTAACACCTTTTATCCTCAAGAGGAGCAATCAAGAGCAAAGTTATCCGTACAGACAATTCAGAGATCCTTTGCCAAGAGAGAGCAAAACAGTGGGCAGAACCAAAAAGGAAGCACAGGATCTCTCTGAAAAACATCAGTTCTAGCAGAGTTGGGGAGTTTGTACTTGCAAGTGAATTCCTTGCCTTGCAACAGGATAATAAAACTGTGAAGAAACTTCATACATGTTCCTACCTACAATTTCTACAGGCAGTTTTGCTCTGCAATGAGAGGGGCAAAAGGAGACCAATGTACAATGATAATACCCTTGAAATGATGGCTAACAGACAACCTTGCTCCCCAATGCAAGGTATGTACCATAAAATTAATATATCACCTTTTCTTTTTCTGCTTCCCTCCTCTCGCTACATTAATAGCACTGCCCTGGAGGTTTTGGAACAAGGTCAGCTACATACACACACAACTGAGTATGTACAACTGGGGAAGGAAAACTCCCTATCTAAAGAAGTCTCTTACATTTTCATCAAACATGGAATATTTGTCATGTTCCGCTTTAAACATTTCATGTGGTGGAATCTTCATTTTTGCCAGTTTTGCTGCCTGTAATATAAAACGTGCATTAACATCACAGTTAATTACTGACAACCTGTCACACATGCAAAAGGAAAAGTAGACTATCATTTGCAAATCAAAAAGCATTTAACTCACAATTGTTTATCATCTGAAAAGACACTTTCAGTGAGGAACAACTCAGTAAGTCTTAGCTGTGCTTGTCCAGGGGAAAAAAATGTGGTTTAAATCTGTAGAGAACCACTTAATAAAATAGATGTATTGCAGGAACTCAAAATAATTCGCTTATATACTTCTAAAACCACACCTGATTTTTGCTAATTTGGTTCCTCAGTGTTTTAGGTGTAAACACAAAGTTAATAGTTGCTATGAGTAAAGAATATTCAGCAATTAACTCACTCCAAAGGGAACCACCTTTATCAACAGTTCCCTGCTGACAAGCACAGGTTTCTACGCAGGTCACAGCAGGATCAGGATGCAAGTAATTTCAGTTTATTTCCAGTGCACTTTCACTTATCTGTAAACAAGCACATCTCAGAATCCTTTCCAAGAATTTATGCCCAATGCAAAAAGCTACTTGGAATTTGTGGACGATAAATGCTGTTTATGTGGTTTTCTCTCTGTATATGGTGCTCTCTAAAAGGTTACTTCCTCTTTTAACCCAGGAACGCATTTCCTGTACTGTTAGAGTCATCAGCATGCCAAACAATCTTTTCTTCTTATGAGTTCATCTCTGTCTGTCTACTCCCCATCCAAAGCCTAAAACCTTTGAGCTATCTCAGTTCCAACTGTAGAGATGAAATGTGTTTTTACAAAACACTACATTTCAGAGTACAATCATATGGAACAGTGGATTCTTAACGAGAAAAAACCCCAACATTTTCACACATACCTACGATACTGGAAAGGGAAGAAAATAATGACTCAAGCAAAATCTTCTTTAACAGGCATGTAAGATACTACTTTGGCAATTAAGGAAGTAATACTGTCTACAGACTGAAATAAGGGCTACAAGTTCTAAGAAGCTTTTGCAGCCTTTAGTTGTGTTTTCAAAGATGGCTTCTCTATAATAGGAGCTGAAAATTCAAATCTGAACTGCAAGCCAAAGTCACTCTGAGCAGGAAATTGTAAACAAAAAAAATAAATAAATGGAGGCCCAGTTAAGGCCAGGCAGAGAGCCTGTGTTCTAATGTAATCTTTCCTGCACGTGACTATTACTGCTAACACTTTTCTTCAAAACCAGATTAAAATGATCTGAACACTTACTTCCTGCTCTTGTTTTTTCCTCGCTGCTTCTTCTTTCTTCTTTTTTTTCTCTTCTTCAATCTATGAAAGGCAATGCTAATGAGTAAAAGGTAACTATTTCATTTGGTTGTCTTCTACAAATGTAAGCCAGCTGGCTTCCCTGGATATCTAATTACAGACAGAACTGGTAGCATGACCTGCAGCAAAAACACCATGCCTTATAGTTAGGATTGTCTGATACTTCCCACTGTACGACTTTGATTTCATTTGCTTTTATTCACAGTTAAACCAGTTTTAACTGTTCAGAATGCATTTTGCATGCAAAGCGCATACATATTAAAAAAATACCTACAAAGCCTGCAAAAGAAATGGCCCTGCCATTTCACAAGGAAAAACGTTTTGCAAACGACTTAAAAAAAACCCCAACATATTTCACTGATATTTTAAGCTCTTGTCTCAAATTATGAAGACATTACAGTTTCTCAAGAAGCAGTTGTATCCCTTCATGTTCCTAGGGAAACAACTAGCCAAATTTAGCCAACTTACAAACTTAAAAAAAAAATTAAAATCTCATCTTGCACTGGCTTAGGATCGACCTATCAGTTCTCCACAGGTTTTGCCAGCACGGAACACAATACTGTTTTCAGGGCAAATGTACTGTAGCTGCAGGTTCCACCCAGCAGCTATATACAAACTGCCTTCAAACGTCTTTTTGATGAAGACATCTGGAATTGGCTGAAACTACATTTTACTTCTGCGATTTCTAAAAAAAAACATCCACATGGAAGAAGAAATGTTGGAAAGTCTTCCAAACATTTCTAGTCATGATGAAATTTTATTATTTGTTAAAACTGAAGACAGACATGTGAAGTGTTACTTTTAAATGTTACAAAGTCAAATATTAATGCTAGGAAGTGCCAAAAGGAGCGTTTCTGTACAGATCTTGTGCATGTGAATTAGAATTCACAATCTTTATATAGTAATATGTGAATTCTTGCCCCCACACCCTGAATATCTAACTCATCCATACTACATTAATTAAGATTGAGCCAGTGCTTTGTTCTCACGTATCAGATAAATACAGTCTAGTTCTATGGAAAATGTCAGCTTCATTTGTACAGACAGAAGTCCGAATTAGCTTCACATTGGAATCTTTCTTCCAGAGAGATATGGCAGTATGTATGCAATACTCAACATCCCTTAATTATATGAAGATCTTAACAAACAAACAAACGAAAAACCTTAGAGCTATTCACTAGGTCCCATACAAAATCTTTAAGAAGTTACTGTTTCAAAAATTCTTTTCCTGAACACACTCAAATTTTAGTATCAATTCTCTTACGTTATTTTCCTTGTTGCTAGTCTGTTAAGATTTTTCTTCCAAGTTATCAAAGAAATGTAAAAGTATCCATAGCTTACACATTACTTCAAATTTGAAAAATACAGAATGCTTAAAATAATCACCTTTTTCTTTTCTTCTCTTTCTTTCAGTAACGTGTCCTTATCCACTAATTTAACCACAGTTGGAAGTCCTAAAGAAGCAAAAACAGATGAATGAGTTGCCAATGCTTGAATAGTCAAAGATAAATGTATTTACCCTATGATAACTGTTTTCTTTTTGCAAGCTGAATGCAAATACAACTGAGTAATTACTCGAAAGTGACTAAGAAATTAGGTGCTATACAAAAAGATAAAAAAGATTGCAATGTACATTTTCATAATCTATACATATATTCCAATATACAGTTCTATAATACATATTAATACATCAGAAATATGATATGCTATAGCTTTGCAGTCCTTGAGTTTGTTGGATTATTCCACATTAGTCTTCACAGGTTGTTTTCCTACTTCTTATGAAAATAGTAAGACTATAAAAATAGCTACCTACAAAGTTGCAAGACACAATTGGGTACCTTCATGATCTTCAAATCGAACACCAAGTTCAGGAAGGATGTCATCTCGAAGAGCATCACTCAACTGCAGTACTTCAGTTACTACAGAGCATGAAAAATACTTTTAGTGAAGTAAGACATCAAATGGTTAAGAAGTCAAGATTTAGCTGAAATGGATGCTATCAGGTCTTAAGAGGAAAATAAATCTTCATACAAGATATTTACTTGGATGAGAAATTGTATCAGCCGAGAAGCAGCAGAATAGTTAAGAAGAACTAAATGCATCAAGACCCAGTGTGTCCCTGTTGTGAACTTAATTCAGCAGCAATTTTTATAGACAGTCGTGTTTAGGAGGAAACACCAAGTGTGACAAGATAGATACTTGGGTTAGATGATACCATGTGCTTGTAATAAACAAGTGTTCTTCCTTTCAGCAACTCTCAGCTGGTTAAACCTAAGAAGTAATAGGGGTCCCAAAGGTAATAAATCTGGCAGTAGAAGTTATCATCCAGACACTGTACTAAACACTGCACATACCAGTAGATACAAGTACCATCCCTGAGCCTTCATCTCTTCCATCATTCTCAGAGCCTCAAAGCACTGAACAGTGAACTGAGCACTGACTATCCTAATACCACAAAAAGGAACAGCCACCCTGTTTCACTGCATGGTAGCGTTCTGCAACTCCCCCTCTGTATAGGAAAGCACTGCAGTTTATAGAAGCTCTTTTGTCTGCTGTGAACTAAGTCATTATTATTCTCGATCCAGAGCAGTTAGATACAGTGAACCACATTCATGCTTGATGCAACTCTAAAGAAGCCATTAAGATAAACAAAGGATAAGATTACCTCACTGGCTGTTAATACTAAAAGGTGTTGACTCTAACCTAGGCAGAGGAATTACACATATTGTATCAAGAATGTATCAGATACACCTACTGCTTATTCAGTAAAACAATGTCCGCTCAGTTATAAATATTTACTTAAACTTTCAATTATTCATGATTTCAGTTAAGAAGAAGAAATCCACCAAGGCAGAGAAATGTACAACAAAGCCTGTATTATTTATAAAAGGACACATCCTCTGATCGATCCTCAGTCATCCAGAGGAGTCGGCACCAAGCTTCTTAGGGCTGAAATGTGCCTGTTCTTTGCATGTAGTACCTCTAGAGTAAAGATGTTTAGGGATTGGGTAGGGGGTTGTTTATGGGCTGCCCCAAGACATAAACCATCATTCTCACTGAGGACAGTGACCAGGAAACCAGTGGGATACTGCCTTATCACCAGTGCCCATGAACACCTTGGCAGCTAGGCACTTCTTCAGCTTGTGACTGTTTCCCAGAGCTCTTTTCACATTTTCTGAATTTCAAGCCAAAGAGTGTCAGATGTGAAACAGATGTTCTCTCCATCATCTACCAGCAGTCCTGCCTAACCGGTGAGGTCCCAGACGACTGGAGCTGGCCAATGTGACGCCCATCTACAAGAAGGGCCGGAAGGAGGATTCGGGGAACTACAGACCTGTCAGCCTGACCTCGGTACCGGGGAAGGTTATGGAGCAAATCATCCTGAGTGAGATCAGAAGGCATGGGCAGGACAATCAGGGGATCAGGTCCAGCCAGCATAGGCTCATGAAAGGCAGGTCCTGCTTGACCAACCTGATCTCCTTCTATGACCATGTCACCCACCTGGTGGATGAGGGAAAGGCTGTGGATGTGGTCTACCTAGACTTCAGCAAGGCCTTTGACACTGTCTCCCATGGCATTCTCCTGGAGAAACTGGCAGCTCATGGCTTGGACAGGCATACTCTTCGCTGGGTGAAAAACTGGCTGGCTGGCCATGCCCAGAGAGTGGTGGCGAATGGAGCTAAATCCAGTTGGTGGCCGGTGACAAGTGGTGTTTTCCAGGGCTCAGTTTTTGGGGCCGGTGCTGTTTAACATCTTTACCGATGACCTGGATGAGGGAATCAAGTGCACC